ACACACACACACACACACACACACACTTTTGTTTGGCATTGAGATGAGTCAACAGAAAGAATAAATACATTTGCTTTAAACACTTCCTACCAAGAACTAGAAAAAGACTTTTAAAAATTTAAAGATGGTAACAATAATAGACACACACATCTATATGTCTATCTATCCATCTACCATCACCATCATCTATCTATCTATCTGATCTATCTATCATTATCCATCTAATCATCGCTATCTATCCATCATTATCTACCTATCAGCTATCTCATCTATCAACCATCTATTATCTACCATCTATCTCATCTATCTACGTATGTTCTATCCATCTATACACCCATCCATCCATCCATCCATTTGTCCATCCATTCTTTTTATCTATCAATCAATCATCGGTTATCTATCACTCTATCATCTACCTATTTATCTATGATCTCTATCTACGTATGTATGTTCTATCAATCTATCCATCCATCCATCCATCCATTCATCCATCCTATCATCTATCACTCTATCATTCATTTATCTACCATCTCTATCTATCTACTATCATCTCTCTCTTCTCTATTTATGTATCTATTATCTAGGTGTGCAGATGAATGGATAGATGAGATAGATGATGGATAGAAAATAGACAGATAGTGGATGCGGTGGCTCATGCCTGTAATCCCAGCAATTTGGGAGGCTGAGGAGGGCAGGTCATTTGAGGTCAGGAGTTCAAGAGCAGCCTTACCAACATGGTAAAACCCCGTCTCTACTAAAAATACAAAAATGAGCTGGGCTTGGTGGTGGGCGACTATAATCCCAGCTTCTCGGGAGGCTGAGTCAGGAGAATCGCTTGAAGCTGGGAAGCAGAGGTTGCAGTGAGCTGAGATCGCACCACTGCACTCCAGCCTGGGCAACAGAGTGAGACTCCAGCTGAAAAAAAGAGAAAGAAAATAGAATAGATAGATAAGAGGTAGATAGATAGATACATGATATGTAGAGAGACAGATACATATAAAGATAAAATTTAGTTTTTATACCATGGGCATATACTATTTTCTTCTCTAATTACTTGCCACAATGTTTTTGAGAGGTTTCTACATACAAGGTTCTGCCTTCTACACTCATTCCCATATAGTATGTTTTATTCAAAGACAGTCATCCTATTGATCAAGGTGATAACAGGATTTAAAAGCTAAATTTAAAAGTCCACTGCAGGATACTGCAGCATCTCTCCCTCTAAGAGCACTTGCATTTGGATCCATGAAGTTCCTGAGAATGAAATGGTTCTGGAATTAACAGGACCTACAGCACCCTACCCCATGCTAGTTTTCCAGATAAAATAGCACAGTGATTGTGACATTTGTGCTAACAAGAGTTATGAAGTAGGGTATTATACAAGATACCAAATGAACAGGGGAAGGTCGCCTAGAGGACAGTGTGGACACACAGGAGAAGGTCCAAGTGCCCCTGTGTAGCAAATCAATGACCGAAAGCTTCCTAATCTTTCTGAACCAGGCACTGACAAGGGCTTTCCCTGGACCACTCTCCTTTCTAATCCCCCTCCTTCCAATTCTGTGAGGTGGGCAACCCAGTCTCCACCTCATGAACACTGAAGCAAAGTAATGAACTCGGGCTGGGCACGGTGGCCCATGCCTGGAATCCTAGCACTTTGAGAGGCCAAAGGAGGATCGCATGAGGCCAGGAGTTCGAGACCAGCCTGGAGAGCATAGTGAAATCCCAACTCTACAAAAAATAAAAATAAAAAATTAGCTGCTTGCAGTGGCCCTTGCCTATAGTTCCATTTCCTTGGGAGGCTGAGGCAGGAGGATTGCTTGAGCCCAGGAGATGAAGACTACAGCGAGCTATGATCTTACTCCAGCCTGGGCTACAGAACAAGACTCTATCTCTAAATAATAATAATAATAATTTTTAAAAAGAAAAAGTAATGAACTCACCCAGGATCCAAAACCTACCACATGGCTGAGCTGCCCAGCTCAGGTCTATCCAACCTCACATGGATGCCCTGTCACCCACTAATAACTACAGATTCGATTCATAGAGCCTCAAATGAGGACCGCAAGGGTGGAACATGCTGAAGTGGTGAATCCACATGTTTCGAAGAAAGCTTGACATCAACCAACAGCTCTAGAAATTAAGTTCAAAATGCTGCATTGGAACAGTGACCAAGCAAGAATGAGGAAAAAAACATTCGCATTTTCTCCAAGGGTGACTGTCTGGAGAAGACATTTAGCCAATGCAAACATTGATGATGCAGTAGGTCCCATTCAATGGTATGAATGGCACACATTCAATACCACCTTTCAGTCTACACCTAGGTCTAGCTCTAGAGCTGTGTTGATTGTTACTTAAAGACCAAATGGCGTTATTAGGTCATGCTTAAAGAGGAAGAGAAAACATTAGCATTTGCTTTCATTAAATCCATCAATGGAGAGAATGTAGTTGAAGATAAGAACATTGCTAAGAGGAAGGAACAGAAAGCATGCATCTCTCATTTCATCCTGAAAGAAGAAATTATTTGCATGCCCCATTTGGACTGGAACATTCACCTGCCCTCCCCCCAACAATTTTCAGCTTTTAATCTCTTGACCTCCCTCATGTTCGCTTTTGCAGAACAGCCTTTAAAGAGTGAAAAGGCATGATGATCAGAGTTGAAGATGGCAAAAGAGAGTCGGCCGATTACCCCAGGCAAACGCCAGAGAGAAGACAGAAGAATCAGAGGCAGGGGGAGAAGGAAGCCGATTCTTATTTTTTGTTAAGTGAGGCTGAAAAATGAATTAATAGCTGTTGGGTGCATGCACTTGACCCCAGTGACAGTGGATGGCCTCCACCAGGAGCCTTGGACACAGGGAAGAATTGGGATACCACCTCCAGAGCACTGTGTGGACTGGGGTCCCTGACGGCCTCAGCAGGGAGTTCCTGGCTCAGTTCGAAGGTTTCCTTAGATGGGACACTTTCGACATTATTTGCTGGCTGCTAAAACATAACCATTCCATCATTAGTCTGTGGCGGGCTGCAGGGAACTGTATCCCTAACCTAAATGATGGGGAACTCTTTATCCTGGGGTAATATAAAATCAAATTAATGGGTTGAGACCAGGCACGGTGGCTCATGCCTGTGATCCCAGAATTTTGGGAGGCCAAGACAGGAGGACTGCCTGAGCCCAGGAGTTCAAGACCAGCCTGGGCAAAACAGCAAGACCCCATCTTAATTATAATTAACTTTTTAAAAAAAAAACAATGGGCTGTGCTTGATCCTCTTTTCTGGGAATGCTAAATAAAAATAGCTCAGCTTCTCTCCCCTAATTTATTCTGAGCCATCCACCATGTGTCAGACAAGAGATGCTACAAGTTCTTATGCAACTCATGAAAGTTAAATTTTCAGAGAGAGAGTTGACTTATTTATACCAAATGCCTACAGAAGCATTTTACTAAGATAGTCTCTCTGAGAGTTAAAAAAAAAAAAAAAAAAAGAGGGGGAGGGTGTCCATAAAGCCAGTTTTTGGATAACACGTGATAATAAAAGCCAGGATTCATAAGGATAAATTCAGGGAAAACAGAATCAAAATCAAATCTGTAGTCATGGAATACTGACTTTAGACATGGTACAAGGATAAATTCAGGGAAAACAGAATGAAAATCAAATCTGTAGTCATGGAATACTGACTTTAGACATGGTACAAGTCCTATCAAAAGTTTAAAAAAATTAATGGATACATAGATGCTCTCTTGACACTGTATCTTTTTCTTCTTAAATTGTTTTAAGCAAAGTGGAAGAAAATAACAAAATGACCAAAAACAAAACCCCACAATAAATTTGAATAGACAGCCAGATTCCATATCCACCAGGATAATAGAGAAATAGATTAAGTATAACACAACGTATTCCAGGCTGGAGAATCCATTCAAAAAAGAAAATGGGAAGAATTTTAAAAGGCATATTGTGCCCCCACTGCTATGTAATGGGGATAGACACTGTGAGAAAATAACAAGCAACAAGAGCGCTGGCCACGTGTGAGTCATATAGATGAGGAATACCAAGGTGGCTTCAGTCTCTGTGAGGTCTGCAAGCTGAGGGGAAGGCTGAGACAGTGGGTCACACGTTATCGCAGCAGGAGTCTCAATTTCAGGACAACCTATCATCTGTTATAAAAAAAAAAAAGAGAGCAGAGGCAAGTTAAGTCAAACCTTCGTGCAAATAAATGCACTTAACTGAAAATACCCACTCTATTTTTTTCTTTCTCCATGATGCAAACACAGCTTGATACGGGGTAGGTCTGGGGCAAGGTCATAGGCTCACCAATACCTGTCTTCATTTCTTCTTCTTCTTTTCATGCTAACGTCCAACTGCATTTTGTGAACTCCTTGTACCTGGACAGGACCATGGAAATGATTCTCACAAGCAGATTGAGTGAATGTGAGGAAGTGACATGAGTTACCTCTGGGCTGGGCAACGAGAGAAATAAGATTTTCCTACCCCCTCTTCTTCTACCAGCCAGGTGAAAAACAAGGTCTCTCCACGTCTCTGAACTGGGCCTCCATAAGAAAATAAAACCAAACAGAGAACACATCAGGTGACTCTTTTCTCAACTCTCCCAAGGATGGTCCATATCTAACACCATTCTAGATGTGGAGGAGATAACTGAATGCATTACATACAATGACTGTCATCAGCATCAGCGTCTAATCCTCCCAAGGAGTCTCGCTTGAGAAGAGCTGCTCTAGAAGGTGGAGCACAATAATAGGAGCATCCTGGATCCCTGAAAGACTGCATGGAGTAGAGGATACCTTGGCCACCCCAGCTGGCTGTGACACAAATGAGAAATAAACTTTTATTTATTTGAGGGCTGTTTGTTATAGCAGCTAACCTATCTTGACAAATACAGGGTCAAGAAGCAAACCTGTGTCCAAACAACTGGGGTCCTCATCAGGTCAGGTCACAAAGCAGTTAGCTTAATGAGTGTGAGCAACAGAGACAAGATAACACTGACATCCTCACTGAAAACACACTGTAGAATTCTTGGGAGTGGATGCGGTTGAGCCTCAACATGAGCCCCTCTTGCCTACACCAGGCCTACTTAAGAGAATTGTAATCATTCAAATGCAGACCCCCAGGCCATGGTCCCAGAGATTTTGAGTGATGTCAGCTGAAGTGGAGATCAGTCACTTGGACACCCAGCTCCCAAATTTCTGATCCTAGCATTCCCTTTTAGGAGAATGTCCAGTTCATTCTCCTAATTGAGGCATGAATGTATGCATTTCACAGGTGTTTATGGAGAGGTAGGCAGTGAAGATTAAACAATGGCTTACACAGATATCATCTGCACCTTCGTGAAGCTTACTGTCAATGAAGACAGACAATCAACAAATAACAAATACAAAATGGCAAACCATGAGAAATTTGAGGAAAGAAAATGCTATTGTTATGAAGAGACCTCGCCCGGCCTAAAGGGGGAGACACTCCTGGGAGAGCAATATCTAAAACGAGCCTGAGAGAGGAATAGAAGTCGATGATGTAGAATGACTGGAAATACAGTAAGAAGAAGAACATGTTGGAAAATGCACATGAAAGCAGATCAGCATGTGCAGCACCCTCAGGCAGAGGAACAGGAGCACAGAAAGAAATAGAAAAAAGGTATCTGCAAAAACTGGACACCCCCAAAAGTCATTATTAGTGAGATTTAGTGAAACTTTAAGATGTAAAACAATGTAACCATGAACTTGTTTTTTTAAATATTGACTATTCTAACTTATAATCATGAAAGTATAAATTTATTTATTTATTTATTTTTAAGACAGAGTTTTGCTGTCATCCAGGCTGGAGTGCAGTGGCATGATCTCAGCTCACTGCAACCTCCACCTTCCGGGTTCAAGTTATTCTCTTTCCTCAGCCTCCTGAGTAGCTGGGATTACAGGCATGCATCACCACACCTGGCTAATTTTTTGTGTGTATTGTTCATAGAGACAGGGTTTCACCATGTTGGCCAGGCTGGTCTCGAACTCCAGACCTCAAGTGATCTGCCTGCCTCGGACTCCCAAAGTACTGGGATTACAGGTGAGAGCCACCATGCTCAGCCTATGAAAGTGCAATTTAAATAACTCACAGAAGAACAGAGTAGGACGATGCTTGTCAGGGGCTGGGAGGTGCTTAGAATGAAGACACGTTGCTGAAGGAATATGAAGTTTCAGTTATACAAGATAAATGTGTTCTGAGGAATCTAACATACAGCATGGTGACCACAGTTAATACTACAGGATCGTATACTTAAAATTTGCTATGAGAGTAGATCTTATGTGTTCTCATTATCAAGAACAGAAGGAGGAGGAAGAGGAGGAGGAGAAAACAGCATTTATGTGAGGTGATGAAAATGTTAATTGGCTTGATGCAGTGATTGTTTTACAATGTATACATATAGCAAAGCATCAAATTGTACTCCTTAAATACATACCAATTTTTATTTGTCAGTGGTACCTCAATACAGCTAGAGACAAATTTTTAAAAATTAACATTAAATAAAATATGGGTTTCTTCTTTCAGATCTCAGCTATGTATGTAAAATCCAAACATAAAACTAGGTTCTAAGAATTATGGTGTAAAGCAAAATTATAAGTTATCAAAGACATCAGAAAACCATGATAATAGCACTCCTTTTTTAGTAGATGCTCATGGCTGGCTGCTGAATGGCACTCATAAGCTTCTCAGCCATGATTCCTTTTAATCCTGACAGCCCTATGAGGCAGACAGGTTGAGCCTTCCTCTTACCGCTGCAAAGTTTAATTTGCAGACAGAGATACTTGTCCAACATACGAGAGATAGCAAGCGAGACAGCGGGATTTGGGTATGCGCCTCTGTGTCTGCCAAACCCTTCCCTTGAACTGTATGCAATGTACATGATTTTCCAGGGTCTGCAAAACACCAAAATGAACCTTGGGATAAAATGATGAATGCAATAACTGCATTATCATGAACTACATGAATCCTATAAAAATGTATAATTTCTTTCTTCAACGAGGGCTGGTAGAGGGATGTCCTGGATTTAAATACTGACACGTCAAGGAAAAGGACCTGGAGAAATGACTCTGAGCTGTGGGGCTTTCAGTGAGATGTCTCACAGACAGTTATTGTGATGGATAAATGAAGCAGCCAGACAGGCAGAGGAAGCGCTCGATAAAGGATTCGTTGAATTGGATTAGGGAAAATGTCAATCTGTTTCTGTCATCTAATTTCTCCCAACAATGAGCACATAAATAAGTTCCATGGGGCCAGTCATGAAGTATAATCCTTCATTGGAAGGGATTTAACTCAGGGTTATACGCTTGATTACAAAGGATGAAATAATGATGCAATTTTCAGCTTGCCTTCTGCAGATGTGTTACAATCTTATGAATTTAAATGAGGAAGAGAAGTTCGGTCAGCCCTTGCTAATGTTTCTCATCAAGACCCACGGGCTTACTAAACAATTAATATTAACAACTGAAATATAAACCAACATTTATGAATAAATATCGCCATTATTCTTACTAGTAAGAAATAGAAACTTCCTCCTTTGCATATCATGCAGAGAGAAATTTTAAGAAGAGAAGGCAACAATCTCAAAGTCTGCTCTTAAGATCATTTTTGGCAAGTTCGTGAATACATGAATATAAAATGTGACTTTTACAAACTGCATTTATTTTTAGCCTTAGGTAATAGCTATTCTACTGATTTAGCCCCTAAAAGCCTGACTGAAGATGGGGTCACCTTGACAGAAGAGACTCTGAAACTGGAGGCAGGCCAGAGAATTGTCGGCTCAGTAGAGAGAGAGGCTGAGATATGCAGAGATGCTTTAAAACAAAATGCTCTGTGTGGGAAGAGGAAAGCTGATAGAGGACATCGTAAAGGCAGACGAGGCAGGGGACACAGAACGTTCCAGTACACAATCCAAGGACATACATTTAGAGCAAAAAAGGAAGCACTCCTTTGCATTATGGGCTGTAAATTTGTGAAAGTTAATTACTGCCGGAGGTGGTAAATGCTAAAAATACATATATCAGCTCAGGAACTGAAATGAGATTTTTCCACTTTCAGCAATTGATGAAGCTGTTGTTTTACACAATGTCTTCTTCTGCCAAAAATACCTAAAAGGGCTGCTCAAATAATGTATATAAAACTTTTCTTTTTTGAGATGAAGTCTTGCTCTGTTGCCCAGGCTGGAGTGCAGTGGCACCATCTTGGCTCACTGTAACCTCTGCCTCCTGGGTTCAAGTGATTCTCCTATCTCAGCCTCCCGAGTAGCTGGGATTACAGGCATGTGCCACCACACCTGGCTAATTTTTGTATTTTTAGTAGAGACGGGATCTCACCATGTTGGCCAGGCTGGCCTTGATCTCCTGACCTCAGCTGATCTGCCTGCCTTGGCCTTCCAAAGTGCTTGGATTACAGGTGTGAGCCACCACGGCTGGCCTAGAATTTTTTTTTAAGTACATCAGAGAGCTACCCAGGCAGCAAAAACATTAAGAGTGAAGATAGCAGAGACAAACAAAGAGTAATCCTTACATTTGTTACCTTACTTCAACTCAGGGAAAATAAAAGACTGGGAAGCTGAGAAACTGAGCAGAGTTTTCAGCAGTGCTAGGAGGCTGACGGGCCCATAAATATTAATAGCAAGGACCAGTGAGGGACCCCGGTACACACCACAAGCTTTCTTTTGTGACCTTGCTAAGAGGATAACCGGAAATGGACTGGTTTTCACAAACACTGAAGCCCAATTTCCCTCCAGCTCAGCCCCAGATACGATCTGGGCAAACCACCTCAGGGGATGCAAATCACATCAAATCACATCAATTTTTTAAAAAATCCTCGTTTAGAGGATAATATGATATAATAATATGATTCAGAGCTAAAAATTGTCTTTGCAAATTTTTTTTTCGTTTACCGTGTCTGGCTGTCAATTGAAAAATTAACTATTACACAAGAAAAGACCAAATGAGTGAAAATCAAGAGCAAACAAAATTAAACAATAAAACCAAACCCACCCGAAACCTAAACATGTGATTTATCAGACATGGACTATGATTAAATGTGAGAAACACTTTAATAAAATGGGAGGAAAGATAAAAATTTTCAAGGTAGTATTGAAACTCCACCCAAAAAATCTGACGTT